TACAAATGACTGTCCAACTTCACGGTCAGAGGATTTTAAAAATCATAAATTTCATTATTTCAGCTTTTAAATCTGAAATTTCACCGTGTTGTAATTGTAGGTGTCCTGACCCAAAAGGAGTTGGGGGGGAGGGTTGCAAGGTTATTGTAGGGGGGTTTGCAGTACTGCTACCTTTATTTCTGTGCTGCTGCTGGTGGCGGCGCTGCCTTCAAAGATGGGCAGCTGGAGAGTGGCAGCTGCTGGCTGGGAGCCCAGCTTTGAAGGCAGCGCCGCTGCCAGCACCAGCATAGAAGTAAGGATGGCATGGATGGTATTGCCACCCTTACTTTTGCACTACTGCAGGCAGGACGCTAAATTCAGAGTTGGGCGCCCGGCAAACAGCTGCCTCTCTCCGGCCACCCAACTCTGAAGGCAGCGCAGAAGTGAGGGTGGCAATACTATGACCCCCCCTAAAATAATCTTGCAACCCCCTTGTAGCTCCCTTTTGGGTCAGGACCCCCAAGTTGAGAAACGCTGGTTCCCCTGTGAAATCTGTATAGTATAGGGTAAAACCACACAAAAGACCAGTTTTCATGGGGGGAGACCAGATTTCCATGACATGTTTTTCATGGCCATGAATTTTGTAGGGCCCTACATATGAGTTGTCCCATTGACTGTAATGGGACCACTCACATGCACAGAGCTTAAGCACATGTGTAAGTGTTTGCAGGATCAGGACCAAAATTTCCAAGCCATTCATCCTCTTTGTATACTCCAAGCTAGAAATGAATACTTTCATGGTACATTGTCCACATAAATTATCCTTCTCTTTTCATTCCTGCCAAACAATTTTGAATGAAAACACAAAATTGTGGTTTGGGGCAACTGCATTTTGAGAACGAAGAGGAAAATAATGAAAAATGAAAATTATAAATGCTTCAATCAGGCTGCATAATTTTAAATCTTAATGTTCATCAGAGATGGGCTTAAACTGCACATTCAGATTTAAAACACTCCAAAAGTTTGATGGTATATGGGTTTTGGGATCAGGCACCCCTCAGTTCTCATTGTAAAGCGCAGTAATCACAGAATTATAGAATCATAGCACTGGAAGGGACCTCAAGAGGTCATCTAGTCCAGTCCCCTGCACTCACGGCAGGGCTAAGTATTACCTAGACCATCCCTGACAGGTGTTTTTCTAACCTGCTCTTAAAAATCTCTATTGGGGATTCCACAACCTCCCTACGCAATTTATTCCAGTGCTTAACTACCCTGACAGTTAGGAAATTTTTCCTAATGTCCAACCTAAACCTCCCTTGCTACAATTTAAGCCCATTGCTTCTTGTCCTATCCTCAGAGGTTTAGGAGAACAATTTTTCTCCCTCCTCCTTGTAACAACCTTTTATGTACTTGAAAACTACTATCATGTCCCCTCTCAGGCTTCTCTTTTCCAGACTAAACAAACCCAATTTTTTCAATCTTCCCTCATAGGTCATGTTTTCTAGACCTTCAGTCATCTTTGTTGTCCTCCTCTGTACTTTCTCCAATTTGTCCATGTCTTTCCTAAAATGTGTCGCCCAGAACTGGACACAATACTCCAGTTGGGATTGTATCAGCGCGGAGTAGAGCGGAAGAATTACTTCTCATGTCTTGCTTACAATACTCCTGCTAATATATCCCAGAATGATGTTTGCTTTTTTTGGAACAGTGCTACACTGTTGACTCACTTTCAGCTTGTGATCCACTATGACCCCCAGATCCCTTTCCACAGTATTTCTTCCTAGGCAGTCATTTCCCATTTTGTAGGTGTGCAACTAATTGTTCCTTTCTAAGTAGAGTACTTTGCATTTGTTCTTATTGAATTTCATCCTATTTACTTCAGACCATTTCTCCAGTTTTTCCAGAGCATTTTGAATTTTAATCCTATCCTCCATAGCACTTGCAACCCCTCCCAGCTTGGTATCGTCTGCAAACTTTGATAATGGCATACTCTGTATGCCATTATCTAAATCAGTGGTTTTTAAACTGCGGGTTGCGACCCAGTACTGGTCGCAGAATATAAGGCACTGGATCGCAGCGGCTCTGGTCAGCGCCACTGACCGGGCCATTAAAAGTCCCGTCAGCAGTGCTGCCTGGCTAAGGCAGGTTCGTCCCTACCTGTTCTGACACCGTGTTGCACCCCGGAAGTGGTCAGCAGCAGGTCCAGCTCCTAGGCTGGGGGGGCCATGGGGCTCCACGCACTGCCCCACCCCAAGCACCAGTTCCGCCAATTGGTTCCCAGCCAATGGGAGCTGGGGGGCGATGCCTGCAGGCGAGAGCCACACGGAACCACTTGCGCGCCTCCGCTTAGGAACCGGACCTGCTGCTGGTCGCTTCCAGGGCACAGCATGGTCTGCAGTGCCAGGACAGGCAGGAAGCCTGCCTTAGCCTTATTATCTTCTAGGTAATACAACAATGGTTAATTTTTTCTTTTGGCAACTGGGGCTTTTTTCTGTATATCTAATGTAAAAGACATAATGAAAAAATAATCACTCTCATTGCAAAGAAATGTCTACAAATATTCACACTGGCCATACATGCTCTCCTTTTGCGTTCACTATAAACAAATGTACAAGTTGTCAAATTGTAGTTACATAGATGTTCCTGGAAAGTGAACTTCAAAGTTGCAATTTTAAAATGTGCATGAATGAGTATTTTCTCCAGAAGTATATGAACACACATTCAGTGAGGTAAAGTAATAGTTACAACTGAACAACACTATAGCAATGACTAAAATGAAGCCAAATTACTCTAGCCCTCTGAAAAAATAGAAATTAGAGATAAAAAAAGACATATTAGGCCTCTTAGTTTATTCCCCTACCAATACATGATTGTTCCCTGTGGTATATTTTAGGTAATTCATCTAGTCCACTTTAAAGTCTTGACCAATGGATCATCCCCTAGTTCTTTTTGGAGAATATGTTTATACAAAAGTAAATTCTATCATTAATGTGGAGGATCTGAAGTTTTTTCGACTAGTACTGATTTCATTCTCTCCCCTCCACTTCAACAAACATGATAAGCACATGGATTGGCTAAAATACTTGCCCAAATGTTAATATATAACCAATTTCTGCATGTTTTGCTGTTGCAAACAGACTCCATTTCTTACTCCTATAACTATACAGTTTGCTTGCTCAGCAGTGCTAGGTTGATAGAATAACATAAGTCTTCTGTGTCTATAGTAAGTGTTTTTCGAGCACAGTTGGATATGGACATGTCTCAGGCCTGGTTCAAATTTAGTTTATAAAAAGCCTAGTAACTGTTGCTGGAAGATGTAGAACCTATGCTTGTGTGTTTTCTATACACGTAGGAAAAAATGGTTGCTTGCAATTGCCAGCCTGTCAGAAGCATTCATTATTAGACTTCCCGCAAAAGTCACACACAAACACAAACCCCCTCCGCCCCCGCACCTCCCATCCCTTTGAAATTCAATTCCCAGTGTGAAAAAAACTGCTTCTGATGCCATTTTTGGCAAAATATGTGAAATTCAGTTCTTTTTGGTGTTATCTTTGGCTCTGAAAATACCAACACTCTGCAAAAATATATTTGATGCCTTAAAAACATTTGAATTGTTACCATTTTCATATCAGATTATTATGCACATCAATATTTTACTGCTCATATTCCTTAAAAACATCTGAATACAAGAAGACTGTGAAAAGTGGTTTTTCCCACAGCCATGTACTTTTGTTTTAACTTACAACTTAATAAAAATAAATTTCAGAAATGTAGTTATTCTATATTATGGCTGCTGACTGGTATTTTTCAGTTGACTGAGTAGGAACTCCAAAAAGGTAAAAAAGTGAACAGAACTATAAAACTATGACCAAGCAAACAGAAGAAATTGAATCAAATACTGTAAACCCCAATGTTAAGATACAAATAAAACCCAGAAGATTTTAATACTCAGAACTGGATATCAAAAGAAACATTACATTTCATTTAAAATCTGCTCAGCACCAAACTGCATAGTCAATCTATTTCTCTTACTGCTGCAATTTTATTTATCAAGTGATATCTTTAGGCGGCTGGAGCAATGATAACCTAAACAACAGTGTCTTGAAGTATTGGATGTAAATAAATATCGGTAGGCTTTTGACACTGGTGTGGATGCATTACTTTACTGGACAATGACAGTTCCAGCCGTGTTCTTTAGGAGGTAAATTTCTGAAGCAGTTATGAAACTCTTCCCAAATAAGGCCTTTAAAATGATATAATAGGCAGAAATACAGTATTCAATGTTAGCTTGTTGGGCTCAAGTGGTACAATACTGCATATGTTCTATTTCCAGAACTGTAGTGTTCTTAATAATACAGCAGTTGGCTACATTTGTAAGTCTACTTAGATAAATATTATCTGTTCCATGATAGAAGGGTAAGAAAATGCTTTGGGCTCTAATATGATGGACACAGTGGAGCTCAAAAAATATTACCATTTTCAAGATGTAGAAAAGCAGTGTTGCATTTTGGACTACATCCCAGTCCCACTGAAGTTAGTGGCCAAACTCCCACTGATTTATATACAACTAAGAATCTACTCTTTTTTATGGGTTTTTAGTTTGCTTTGTTTTCTATGTTATGTGCAGTTTCCTGCTGCCATAAAGTCAGTGGAAGTGTTGCCATTTACTTCAACGGAACAGGATCTGTGCTGTGTGAGCTTTGTATTTTCCAGGTGGATTCACTTATTGAGCATCATGAATTTTAAGCAAAAAAAGCATAGCTCTATAATCCACAGAGACTTATCCTCAAAATTCGATGTGATAGGACCAACTGAAGTCTATTTCAGTCTTTAGAACAAGTACCAAAAAAAAGGTAATATTGTGAAGTATTTGACGACATACAACTATAAAGGAATGAAAAAGCCAATACGGTAAATTGATACAATTTTGAGCCATACAGAAGGCATGCAATATGAATATACAATCCTTAACATTATTATTTTCTAAACATTTAAAGACTTGCAGTCAACAGAAAACTTACCTTGATATGAGCTGCTGGATCTGGGACAGTCTGAATCATGTCCTTTAAGAGGCCAATGTGTTTACCAGTTCAAACCCCAAGGCAGCTGCACAAACAAGAAAACAAAATCACATAAGAGTCTATATGCTTATATTTATTTCCAATAAGACTCTATTTTCTTTTCTGGAGAAGTAAGTTTTTTTCCCCTATAGCAAATACAGCTGATGCTGTACGTAAGATATTATTGGTTCTATTTCTTAAAGGAGAAAACAATGTCAGGGATTGAACCTGTGTTCCTTATTCAGGAAAATTCTCCTTTAAACTTAATAGGCAATTCTCCCTGAATAAGAACTGCAGGATTGGGCTCTAATTGTATAGCACTGGTATTCTTAATATAGGGCAGAGTTGCTCTAGAATTTCTTCTTCCCCTGTTAGATGCAATATAATTGGGGCAGATCCTCAGTTGATGTAAATAAGCATCGCTTCAGTGGAGCTGTGCCCATCTACAAGAGCTGGGGCTCTGGCCCATCATCTAGTTCAATAGCATTTTAAAACACAGAACTTTTGAAATTCCCAATATATGATTGATAGTACAGTATTATTTAGATAATATTTTTATTTTTTAAGTAATGTCTCCTCTAAAATAACATATTGCTCAATAACAGGAACATTAGCTATGTGCTAAAGAGTATGGTTTGTAGTAGGAAAACAAAACGCAAAAACATAACAATTTTAGTTATACCTCATTTTTCTCTGTTTTCCCTTGAAAGCCTGGAAAATCCCCATTTTCCATGCAGAGTGATTCCTTTAGATTCTTGAACTCCTTTTTGTCTTTTAAAGTGACAAGATGATATTATTAATAATTCTGTTCTTACAGCTAAGATCATTTGAGGTTCGAGCTTCTATTTACTTGTCATGGTCAAAGGCTGATACCTTGACTCATTGTGTTGCACCTTAATGGGACCACTTGTGGAATAAGGTTTTACTCAGTGTGATTAAAGGTATCAGAATTTGGCCCTTAGTGAATTTTCCCCCCTTTACTACTCAAAGGGCCCAACCTTACTCCCATTGAAGTCAATGGGAATTGGGTTAGTAAACTTTAAGACCAAATTCGGAAAGCCCAATGCAAGCAAAATTCACAGTTAGGTGAACCATTGGTACAGTTTCCCCAGCTAGCCATGGAAGATCATACGGGTTGTTGGAGTGATTGTGTTCTTTGGAGATTTCTCTCCCACGTGATTTGAAGTGTTGGTACAATTCATGCAAAACAGATGTGCAATTTTTAATTTTTTTTAAAAAGTTAATTATTGAACAAATGAACCTAACTCCTTTTTCAACTGCAAACCCCTTTTCAAACATCAGCAGCATTATCCACTGTGTTTTATGGGATGAAAATTTTAAGATCTCAAAATGTCATATATTAAAATATTAGAGTTGTATAAATTGTGAGATTTTATTTCACTTCCTCTGTCATCATGGTCATCATTTTTACAGCCACTGGAAAAATGTGAAAAATTATCAAAGAAAATTTAGAGTTTTGCTGCATCAGTGATTATTTTTGTCAGCCCAAAGCAATGCAGGTTTGCCTGACATGCAAATACAAATTATTCCCCCAATCTATTTTGAAATGTTTCATTCAGGTTTTAGGAAGAGAGCTAGACTCAGTCAGGTATTGTGACTGAATTGCTAACAAAGTTAAGACCTGAATACTTTTCTAACCCTCTCCCTGCCAGGTGCTTATTTGCTCTTGGGAAGAGCAATTCCCACATAAGTCAATGGAATGTCTAGGTGTTCTGCACCTTGCAGGACTAAAATCATAGTGAGCGAGGCTAATGGGAGATATAGAGAAACATGGACAGGGAGTATCCATGATAAACAGCTGAACATGCCCATTCAGGTACCAAACGAGAATGCCACTTTATGGGTCTGATCAGGGAGGATCTGCAGTGTGTGACTTTTTCAGGTTTGGGTGGAGAGCGCGTGGTTAAGGGTTTTGCCCAGCTTTCCCATCTCCTTTACCATATATGCAGAAAAAGCTGCCACGATTTAGCCCATAAAATAAGATTTGGGGGCAATTTTTCAGAGTCATTTAGGTGCCTAAATATGCAGATAGGCGTTTCATGGGACTTTCAAAAGCACCTAGGTGTCTAACTCCAATTGAATTAAATAGGAATTAATCACTTAGGCCCTTTGTAAATCCCACTAGGCTCCTATCTGCATCTTTAGACACCTAAATATCTTTAAAAATCTGGCCACTGGTAAAGAATTTAAATACATCCGTTCACTAATGACAGGCATCAGTTTAGTACTTTTGGAACAGGATCACCAGACTTCTTAGGGTATGTCTACACTGCAATTAAAAACCCGCAGCCAGCCTGTGCCTGCCAACTCAGCCTCATGGGGCTCAGAGCAGCAGGCTGTTCAATTGCGGTGTAGATGTTGGGGTCAGGCTGGAGACCGGGCTCGAGGAACCTGAGAGATGGGAGGGTGCCAGAGCTTGGGCTGCAGAACGTCTATATTGCAACTAAACAGCCTCTTTGCCTGAGCCCTGCAAGCCAGAGTCAGCTAGCACAGGCCAGCTGTGGGTGTCTAACTGCAGTGTATGTAGACATAGCATCAGAGCTTAAATTTGCCTGGAGCGAACAGCCAGGGGCAGTAGCTTAGGCAAAACTGACTGGATTATGCTGGTACTTTTTCAATCTACATCTAGACGCCAGAACAGAGAATTCTTTACAAAAGAGAGGGTGGGAGAAATTTGTAAATCCAACTGGAAATCAAAGAAAATGTTTGTTCAGTCTGAGTTTGAAACATGGATAGGTTATGGCAATTTTATATTTTTTCTATTTAAGGCACTCATCTGTAGCAGTGCTCCCAAATGGAGGTGGCTGTTTCAATAGCATATGTCACAGTTCAGGGCCACTGCACCTGAATTCCCCACTTGTGGTCCACCAAAGGCACCCACTCTAGGGCTATGTCTATACTACAGACCTTACAGTGGCACAGCTGTACCAATGCAGCTGTGCCGCTGTAAGGTCTCCTGGGTAGCCATTCTATGCCTGCGGGAGAGAGCTCTCCCACCAGCATAATTAAACAATCCCCAATGAGTGGCTGTAACTATGTCAGGGGAAGACAGTCTCCTGCCGACTTAGCACTGTTCACACTGGCACTTTTGTCAGTGAAACATTTATCAGTCGTGGGTGTGTGGGTGTTTTTTCACACATCTGACCAACAAAAGTTTCACTGACAAAAGTGCTAGTTTAGACATAGCCTAGGTTCCTGGTTTTTCAGCCATCACCTCTGTTGGGCAGAGAGACCCATGTCTCTCTCCCTCCTAACCAGGGGGTTTCCAGGCTGCACACTTCCCAGCCTACACTGTGATATTCCCAGCAAGACTGACTGCCTAAAAGACCAACAACTTCACTTTGCTTTCTCTCCAGACTCTACGCTCAGCATATTGCCTGCTGTGATAGGGCGTGGCCCTCACACTCACATTAACCCTAAAGGTTAACCTGAATAGGTTAATGTAGAACAGATGGGCCAATGAACTTCTTAGACTGCAAACTGGGGAATATTTACTCAGACAGGAGAACTCTAAGTAAGAGAAAGTCACCTGTGCAGGAACAGGTGGGGCTTCTATAAAAACAGGAAGCTGGTAGGAGAAAAGAGACTGCAGTCACTCTCCCTGGGACAAGAGAGAGAAAGGGATTTGGACTCAAGAGGAAGGGTTTGTCTATCAGGTCCAGGAGATAGGGGGTTGGCTAAAAGGGTGGAGAATAAGAGCCTGGGACAGGCAAGATAGGAAGTAGTCCAGGAGTGGCAGGAAGGTTTGTGCTCATACAGATCTTGGGTACTGGAGGCAGGATTTCTGGTCTGGAACCCAGAGTAGAGGGAAAGGCTGGGTTCCCCTAACAGCCACTGAATGAGAGGTACAATCTGGGCAGTGAACTTGAAGACTGTATGGGTCCACTTTTTCTGGCTACTAACGGAGTGGCTCAGCCAGGGCAGTTCAGGACCGTCTGGGATGGTGTGGAAGGTCTTGATAGTACCCTGGAAGGGGAGGACTATTTGTGACTTGGCTGGAGGGCTAAGCCATGAAGATGAGGTGTGGCAGCTCCTGAGGAGCAGGAGAGGGCCCACAGAGTGAGACAGCAGGCTGAGGAACTGCAAGAAGAGGGTGTTGGGCTGGCCAAGCTAATCCCCAGACACGGCCAGCAGGAAGTGCTCCGATAGTGAGTAGAGACTCCGATGACACCCTCAGTTATGTTACCACACAGCACTAAGCAAGCGTTTTCACCTTAAGAATCAATGTATTACTGAGAAAACATATTAAAAACAAGAAAACACCCTTGCTAAAAAGCTTGCCAGAGGTCACCTCAACTCCACCTTGGGCTCTAGTAGGTGTCTGTCCTTCAAAACCCTCCAGTGGACTGCAAAGATATTTAAACTTAATTCAATGAGTTCTCACAAGGCATGGCAGGAAATAGCCATATCTGTCACAACACAGTCTTAATTCTGACCTGGATAACCATTTACAGCTTCATCGGGCCAGAAAGGGTGCCCTTCTAGATCCCAGCCTACAGAAAGCACAACTTTGTATTTCTACCTAAGCAAATCATTGCCTAAAAAAACCTCCATTATATTTCTTGTTTTCTTTTCCGCAAAAAAATAAAACCACTATTTAAATCATTTCACTTCCACCTTTACTGGTTGGATATAAAAGTTTCAGACATCTGGTACTAACTTTCTGAACCAGATAATATTTTTTGTCAGAACTCCCCCAACCTCCGAGTTTCATGCATGTCATGTTTGTGCGTCACAATCTGTCAAAGGGTCTGCCCTCAGCTGTATATTTTGCACTGTAATCTTTGCTAAGCATGCCTCTAGTTTAAAGGCCTGATCCCGAAGGGTGCTGAGCACCCCCAGAGGTTGCTCAGCACCTTGCAGTAACAAGCTATAAAGGCTGGATTCAGGAAAGCATCTCTGTCCAGGAAAGCACATAAACATGTGCCTAACTTTAAGCATGTATTTAAGTCCCAAGTTAATGGGACTTAAGGACATACTTAAAGTTAAATATGTACTTAACTGTTTTCCTGAATCAGGGCCTAA